GGTCTTTGTCTACAGACAAAGGCTACAGCCAGTGGTGAGGGGTCGCAACACCTTTCACTCCTGCACCTCTCGCCTCTCACTTCCCTTCTTTTTTGCATTTTTAGTGCTGTCACTCTGAGGCCCCCTGGAGCTTCAAAAGCCTCTTTACATATTTACTTTTTCTTATCTCTTCTCCCATCAGACCCATCCCACCAGATATTTATCCCCTTAGCTCCTACAGATAATGTCCAGTTCTGCCTAGCATGTAAGGTCCTCTTGTGATTGCTGCTTTTCAAGCTTTATTTTTATCCTTTTCTTGACAAATCCTCTGTTCCAGACAAAGTTGCCTATGCAGGTTTGTCTCCCTCATCCCTTACTTGTTTTCTCATCTCTACACACAGTTCAGTTATCTAGAAAACCCATTCATCAGGGCCGGTGCTGTGGCTTAGAAGCCGCTGCCTGCAGTGCTAGCATCCTATTTGGGCAACAGGTTCAAGTCCCAGCTGTTCCTCTTCTGATCCAGCTCTCTGCTATGATCTGGGAAAGCAGTAGAAGATGGGCCAAGTCCTTGGGCCCCTGTACCTATGTGGGAGACCTAGAAGAAGCTCCTGGCCTTGGATCAGCACAGCTCCAGCTGTTGCAGCCAATTGGAGAGTGAACCAGCAGATGGAAGACCTCTCTCTGTGTAACTCAGATTTTCAAGTAAATAAATCTTTTTAAAAAATAAAGATAATAAACTAACCTGTACAAGGTGCCAATTAAGTTCCTTTTGTTTATTTATTTATTTTTTGACAGGTAGAGTAGACAGTGAGAGAGAGAGAGACAGAGAGAAAGGTCTTCCTTTTGCTGTTGGTTCACCCTCCAATGGCCGCTGCGGCCAGTGCACCGTGCTGATCCAAAGGCAGGAGCCAGGTGCTTCTCCTGGTCTCCCATGGGGTGCAGGGCCCAAGGACTTGGGCCATCCTCCACTGCACTCCCAGCAGAGAGCTGGCCTGGAAGAGGGGCAACCAGGACAGAATCCGGCACCCCGACTGGGACTAGAACCCGGTGTGCCGGCGCCGCAAGGTGGAGGATTAGCCTAGTGAGCCGCAGCGCTGGCTTAAGTTCCTTTTAGATGCTAAATTTTCCCCTGTGGTAGATGTATCTTGCTAATTTTTGTGACAGAAAAGTCCAGATAAGTTATCGTTTGGTTTTTAGGTTAAAGGTATATTGATATTTTAAAACTTTTATCCAAGTTTCATGGAGGGGAGAGGATTCCTGTTGATTTATGTCTCATTCAGAAGTTCACTAATTTGTGTGATTTGGTTTTTCTACAGATCCTGCCTGCCTTTCATGACTAACTACAGTTTTCATTGCAATGTTTGCCATCACAGTGGGAATACCTATTTCCTCCGGAAGCAAGCAAGTAAGAACATCCCTTGAGTATTTCAAAATGATTGTCTGGAGCATACATTTGGTACAGCAGCTTAAGTCTTGTGTTGGGATGCTCTCATCCCACACTTGAGTGCCTGGTTTAAGTCCCAACTACTCTGCTTCTAATCCGGCTTCCTGCTAATGCATGCCTGGGAGGCAGCAGGTGGTGGCACAGGTCCCCTGGGACCTGTGGGATGCCTCGATGGAGTTCCTGGTTCCTGGCTTCAGCATGGCCCAACCTGCCTGTTGCAGTCTTATGGGGGAGTAAACCAGCAGGTGGAAGATTGCCCTCTCTCTCTGTCTCTCTGTCTCTATGTCTCTGTGTCTCTGCCTTTCAAATCAAATGGATTAAGTAAATAAATAAAAGTACCAACATTTTAAAAAATGATTACTGGAAAAGTAAAGGGAAATGGGCTTAGCACAATTGGGAGACTGTTGCCTAGTAGCTAGAAGATAAGCTGGGCTTCAATTCTGAATAATTGCTGTTGCCCATTTCCAATCAAATGCTGACTCCATTTTAGTTTTGTGTGGGACATCTTGTTGAATATTCCTTTGATGATAGAGTTATAGTACTATAGGTAGCTTTTTTAAAAAATTATTATTACTTTTTAGATTTATTTGAAAAGTAGAGTTACAGAGAGAGGAGGAGAGATAAAGATCTTCCATCTGCTGGTTCACTCCCCAAATGACTGCAATGTCCTGGGCTGGGCCAGACCAAAGCCAGGAGTCAGGAGCTTCTTCCAGGTCTCCTACATGGCTGCAGGGGTCCAAGTACTTGGGCTGTCTTCCACCACTTTCCCAGGCACATTATCAGGGAGCTGGATCGCAAGTGGAGCAACCAGGTCTTGAACCAGCACCCATATGGAGGCTTAACCTGCTATACCACAACGCTTGCCCCATATAGGTAACTTTGCCTTCCTTCTTTTTGTTTT